TTTGATTTTACTATACACAAGGCACGATGGAAAACCATTAAGCTGAAATATATTACGAATGAAATCGAATTCCAAATGCATATCATGGAAAGTAGAACACTATGATGTCTGAACACTATGTCTGAAACTATGTCCAAGACAGCCTGTGCATGTATTGTAAAGATATGTGAAGAATACAAAGAGGTCTATACATTTTGTTATACTTGAAACACAACATCATTAAAGTAGTACCATTTTTGGTGCAAACAAGTTATAAATCTTTTATTTTCAAGAAAAACCTTAGAAAATTATAGGAACAATGTGTAAAATAGAGGAAATCTGACAAATGATAACTTTTGTTTGAAGTCTGGTGGTGCAGTTTCTCCATGAGTTCTAATTGAATTCCAAGGTTAGGTAGCCCATAAAATGGAACAAAGGCCTTGGCTTGAGCAATACTGACAGTGTCAAACACAGCTTTGTAATAGCAATATTGAAGGGCTTATTGATAATAGCCTTGTAATTTGATACTGTCGAACAAAGTAATAAGGGACGGGCGAGGTAAGAAAGGACAGTCCTCTGACATTTTGCAGAAATGTTGGAGCAGCTAAACTAATTGAAATATTGCAAAACAAAAAATATTGACGTAATAAGGGACATCCCTAAAAATGCATTTACAGTAGAACCTTGGTAAGCAAAGGCTCCAGGTAACAAATAAATCAATTAACAATAAATATTTTTGCTTGAATTTGCCTCACTCTGCAAGAAAAATTCATTTAACAAAAAATTAATGCGTCATTGGCCATCACACAATAGTGCATTGAATGCCTTAGATAGAATTGTGCACTGGGCAAAATAGATTGAAAAGTAATTAACCTAAACCAGTGGTTCCCAAAGTGGGCGATATCGCCCCCCTAGGGGCGATGGAAAGATTTTGGGGGGCGGTAAAGAAGAAGAGGGTAATAGGGGGGCGATAGAGGCAGCGGCAGTCCGAAGTCGAAGTCAGAAGTTTGAACGTTTGTTTGACGATTTGTACACAACACATGCAGCACTGACTCCCAGCGATGGTTTTTTTTACCCAGATCTGTTTTTAGCGCATTTTATCATTTATGGAAAAAATGCACTATTGTGCTTGTGATGTCCATCCGTCTGTCCGCCTGTCTGTCCGTCCGTGACTTCACGTTTTCGTCGACGAGTAAATGCGCTCTCTGTCACTCACTGCAGTGAGTACTGTGCAGAGGTGGGCAGTAGCGCGCTACATGTAGCGGCCGCTACTAGCGGCCGCTACATTTTCAGTAGCGGTAGCGGTAGCGGCTCTACATTTAAGGCAATATAGCGGTAGCGGTAGCGCCCGCTACATATTTAAGTAGCGATACGAGGTTTTGCCGCTACAGCGCTACCGCTACATTTATAGATAAAGCCTTTAGATTTTACTTAAGGGGACCG